CGACGCATCGGCGACGCTGAAGCGGACAACATCGGGCTCCACATCGAGCCGTGTCCCCGATGCATCGGCAATGCTGCGCGATCCTCCGACCACATCTACTCCGACCCCATCTGGGAGGCCTAGATTAGCGCTTGAATCTCTGAATCCACTGGCTCGATTGCCACAACAGGCGGGGAGGCCGAACCTTTCAATCCCCTCCGACGTTTCTATCGCAACTCTGATCTTCATCTCATGCATAACACCATGGATAATACCATCCTAACATCGACATCTCCGGAAACAGTTTACTCTCCCGCCTGGACCGCGCACTTTCTTATCCCCAAGAGATTATTCTCACCAGTCTAGGTTTAAATGGTCGACCCCCCGGGAACTTCAGGGCCAATTTCAAGGCCTAACAGGAATTCGGATGTGGGTCTGCCCACGATGAATTCTCTTGCGAGCGCGCACGAACGGGGATTCATTGTTGCTTGGGCGTCGTCGGACATGTTTGAAGGGGAACTGGGACACACAAATAAATACACACAAATAAAGATATGCCCCATATTTTCATATACTTTCTGGGTTTCTGTGTTCCCCCCACTTCCCATATTTCCTCATATTTTCTAGGGAATCGACGATTCGTTGTGTCTGTGTGTTTGTTCCCCTCCTGACAAATGTCGATCGAAGGAACTTTCGGGCAACCTTCCAGGGGGTCTCCAAGGCCGTCCAGAAAGACAGACCCCTACGGGGAGGCTGGAGGGGCCCCTCCTGGACCTCCCCGAAGATCCTATGGGCGAGGAGCGACTCTTGAACCCATCTAGCAACGGGCAACACCCACTCGTGCTGCAAAAGAGGCGCCCCATCACGCCCCACTAGCGCAGCACTTCATTACGACGAAGCCAGGACAGGGTAAATTTGGACTCGGATAAATCGGACAAGTCTTTGAGGTCCGGCGGCTCTAGAGAATGCCTCGGGCGGCGCGGCCTTCTCAGAGCGTTCCAGAGCGCGTCCCGCAACTCTCTGGAAAAGATTTATCCTCGTCCTAGCTCCGTCTGGTAATACCCACTCGTGCTGCAGAACAAAGCCGCTGCATCACGCCCCACTAGCGCAACTATCTGTCCCACCACTTCAAGCCCGATCATGGGACACTGGAAACCTGCTGTAAGGGCAGGGCGGCTTTGAACACGGCAGACAACGCGATAAGAGATGACAAGAGGGCATCTTCAGACTCTCCGGAACCTCATGGCCGAAACGACCTTTGGACAGGAGCACTCGGCATGAAACTGTTTCTGTTGGAGGGGGGGGGGAGCGTGGATCCACGCTGTGGGGCCGGGCAGCGCCGAAATGCCGCCGCGGCCGCGGCCTGCGCCGCGGGCGCATCCCCACGAGCAGCCTCCGGCTGGCAGCAGAGATCTCCCGCGGCGCACTGCCCCTCGGCCTGGCGGGGCCGGCCCGGCAGAGCCGCCGCGCGTCACCGCAGCGCCGAAATGCCGCCGCGGCTCGCGCGGAGGGCGCATCCCCGCGAGCGGCCCGCAGCGGAGCAGCAGGGATCTGCCGCTGTGGGCCGCCTCTCGGAGGCCCGCGGGGCCAGCCCAGCAGAGCCGCCGCGGGCACCACCGGCGGGAGCCCCTGTGTCCCGACAGCACACGCCGTGGAGTTGCTCGGCGCAGAGACTTCCCAGCGATGCGTTCAAGTCGCATTGCGAAGGATGCGCGGCACGGATGCAAGGACCTTGGAGACCCCATGTTGGCCTGTTCGAACGGGGCTGGCCAGCGAACACGTCGCCAAAGATGGGCCGAAGAGGCCCGGATGCAAGGTGACAGCTGTTTCCTTCCAGGGTGACGGTCGTTACCAGGGGGGTGGGGGCGGCGGGCGGGAGGGCAACGGAAACGGCGGCCGCGGAGAGAACCCGCCAGGGTGCGCCTGCGCCATCGTCGCATCAACCGCCGGTGCGCACCACATCATGTAGGGGGACGTCCAGGCAACCACCCAGAGCTCGATCATTAGCGTTACCCAGGGGGGCCTTGTATCGTCGGACCTAGGCCAGAAGAACACTCTTCGAGAACATGAAACCCTCCGCCGACCAAACCAAACAGAACATCCAAGGGTGCCCGCCCCAGGATGCTCAAGAACATCCAACAATCACGAAAAACACGAGGTGACCCTGGCAGAACCGACCTCGATCTTATACCTCGGTCCGCTTGTAACGAGCGCTGAATTGGGGAGGAAAAGACACTCACAAGGGTACACGTCGTTCATTTCGAATCGTGCTCATTTCTCATTGTGCTCGATTCTGTCATTATTCCTGCCCCTAGTGGCCAGGAGGAGGCCCAGGATAGACCACTCAGAAATGAAAGGCTCTTGGCCCCTCAAAAATCAAAGAACTTTTGAAGACTTCGAAATGCACAGCGGGCAGCCACAGAGAGCTTCTCATGCCTGCAGACGCGCCTTCCCTGCAGCTCCCGAGGCGGTGCGGAGAGGCGGCCACGGCTGGCGAGGTCGGCGGGCACCTGCGGAGACACCCTGCGCCTGCTGCCCCTCCTCTCGCTTCTCATGCAGCTCCGGCTCCGCCCCCTGCTCCATCTCCTAAGCACCCAGCCGCTCCCCCCCCCCACACCCCACCCCCACCCCTCCCCCTCCTCCTCCTCCCCCTCCTCCTACTCCTCCTCCTCCTCCTCCTCCTCCTCCTCCTCCTCTCCTCCTCCTCCTCCTCCTCCTCCTCCTCCTCCTCCTGTCATCCCAGCACACGCGCAAGGCCGAGTCCTATCCTAACCTATCCTCCTCTTCCTCCTTCTCCTCGTCCTCCTCCTCCTCCTCCTTCTCCCTCCTCCTCCATCCTCCTCCCGTTGCAGCTCCTCCTCCACCTCCTCCCCCTCGTCCTCCGACTCCTCCTCTCAATCATCGAAGTGTAAAATTGTATGCTTCGGGCAGGCGTAACATGAGGACCCGCTGAGTCAATTCCTCCTCCACGTCCACGTTCTCACCCAGCCTTGTGCTCAGTACAATCCTTTTTTCCTACTCCTTCTGCTGCCTCTTCCTGCTGCTTGCTCCGCCTCTCATCAATCCTCCCTCCCGGTCCTCTCCCCTGCCATCATACGCCCTACTTCCTCAGCCTCACCTCAACCTTCCTTCCTCATCACGCGTCATCCTCTCCTCACTGCTTCCTCCTTCCTCCTCAAGATCCCTCGTCAGAACCCTCGTCGATCATCCCTCCACCCACCAATTCTCCCACTCTTTCAACTCCAACCTCCTTATATTCCTTCGTTTCCTCGTCCATCTACCCCTCCTCGTTCTCCGTCTCCTGCTCTTCCTCCTCTTCCTCCTCTTCCTCATCCTCCCCTCCTCCTTCACACGCATTATCCTCCGCATCTCCCTCCCCTTGACAGATCATTATCCTAACCCTTCCCCTTCGTCCCCTCCTGCTGCCCTCCCCCTTCCCGTCACATTCCTCCTCCTCAACCCTCCTCCTCCTCCTCATTCTGCCTCCTCCCCCTCCTACTCATCCTAAGCTCCCCCTGCATCTGCCGCTCAGTCCTCAGAGGTGGTCCGTGATAGGAGTGGGCCCCCGGCAAGCGAGGGAGCAACAGGAGGAGCACGACGAACAACGCCAGGATAACGACCAAGAGGAGGAGCGGGATAAGGAGAACTGAAGGCCCCGAGGCCCTCTGGAGCCCTCCGGAGGCCCTCAATGGCCCGAGGCCCCCTCAATCCTCGACGTCCTTGACGTCATGTCCCCCCGCCTCGCTCCTCCCTCTGCGAGGAAGGAAAAAAAGAGGAGGAGGGGGAGGAGGGGGGGGAGGAATAGGAGGAGGAGGAGGAGGAGAAGGAGGAGGGGGAGAAGGAGGAGGAGGAGGAGGGGGAGGGGGAGGGGGAGGGGGAGGGGGAGGAGAGGAGGAGGAGGAAACGGAGCAGGAGGAGGAGGAGAAGGAGAAGGAGGAGGAATAGGATGACGGGAGACACGACGACGATAATGAGGACAAGGCGGAGGAGAAGACCGTGTAGTAAAACAACGAAATTAGAACAGGAGGAGTGGAGAACGAGAAGGAATGGGAAGAGGATGAGGATGAGGATGATGAGAATAATTACGAGACTGAGAAGAAAGATGAGGAATCATAGGATGACGGGGACAAGGGCGATGAGGAGCAGGAGGAGAAGGAGGACGAGGAGGAGAAGGAGGAGGGGAATGAAGAGGGAGGAGGGGAACGAGGAGGAGGCGGAGGAGGTGGCCCGGCGTCTCGGCACAGGACATCCTTGTCGCGGAGACCCACATGGGGCCACCACACAAAACGTCCAGGGGTCTGGGGGGGTGGCTTCCCGCTCGGCGCCTGCGACTGGAGACACCTCGGCCCCGCGACCCCGCGGGGCGGCTAGCCTGGGGGGCGGAGGGCCGTCTTGGGCGCGGCGGGCATCCTGGGAGGCAAGAGTGCAGAGGGAGGAGGAGGGGCAGGGAGGGAGAAGGAGGAGAGAAGGAGGGAGGGAAGGAGGGAGGATGGAGGGAGGCGAGGGAGAGCAGGATGGAGAAGGAGGAGAGAAAGAGGAGAGAAGGAGGAGAGGAGGAGAGAAGGAGGAGAGAAAGAGGAGAGAAGGAGGAGAGAAGGAGGGAGGAGGTGTGATGAGGGACAGAGGAAGGAGGGGAGGAGCAGGGAAGGAGGGGAGGGGCAGGGAGAGGCGGCGGGATAGTTCAAGTGGTATGGCGGAGGGGAGCGCGACAGGGGATGGGAGATGGGGGTCCAAGATGAGGAGAGCGAATGGGGGCGGACGAGGACTGCGAGGAGGCTTCCCGGTTGCTGTCCGCGCGAGGCCGACCACGTCCATCACGGGCACCGGGACGCTGCCGTCCAGGGGGAAGGCGGCGGGGCAGCAGGGGCAGACCTGCTGGCGGCACGCCTCCCTGCTGACGCCGTGTCGGCGGAGGCCCGCGCGGAAGAGGCCCACCGCGTGCTCGTAGAGTGGGCGGTCGAGCCGGTCCGTCCAGCCGGCCAGGGCGGAGGTGTTGTGCTGCGCGGCGGGCTCCATCAGGGTGTGGCACTCGGGATGGGCAGAAGAACAGACACCGGCATGGGCGGCAGAGGCATGACCTTTTAGAGGTCCGCGCGGATTTCTTGGCTCGGCGACGGACGCCCTCTGGCAGCACCGCCGGCGCCGCCCCTGGGAGGGGGCGTACAGCGCCGATCAGAGAAATCTGCACGGACCTCCGAAAGCATGTTTATGCCGATATCTGTTCTTCAGGTGGAAGCGCGGGTCGTGGCACTGCTTCCTGTAGCGGGAGGTGGAGGGGCGAATGTTGACGAACTCACCCTGTCGGCACCTGCCCCCGAACATCGCGTGGAAGAGACATATGGACAAGTCGTACTCCTCTGTGATCCCCACAAACGCGAAACCCTCGTCCAAGTGCTTGATCGCCGTATTAACGTGCGCTTCTGTCAGAGGCTTGGAGTTGTCGTAGCACCTGATGCCGTTCAGCATGCGCACCTGGCACCCCGCGGCCACCTCAGCGTACGCTATTAGGTTCAAATTCCTGTTGTTGTCCGTACCGTGCTTGTCATGAATCCAACCCGAAATGATCCGCTGCTCTGGCTGCCGAAGCAGCGTGACGAAGCTGCCCTTGGAAGCTCTCCAGCTGTTGCACCCACGTGGGTGCATCAGGTCTTTGTCGGGGGCGAAGGAAATTTGCTTGTGATTGCACCGGAGCTCCAAGCCCCGATCGCACTTCCAATTCTCGAGTGTGCGCGCCTTCTTCAGAAGAACCTGGGAGTCGTACTGCAACCTCGAGATGAAGTCTGAGTCCCCCATCCCTGGGCACGCGTAGGACAAGAGGGTGTTCACAAAGGAGGTCCCGGCCTTCGGAGGGTGCAGCCACGCCAGCTGGCTCACGTTCAGCTGCAGGCGCGGCCGTGGTGCCGTGGAGGTGGTCACCGCCGCCAGCGCTCTCGTTGAGGTGTACGTCGGAGGACGCCAGCCATGCCTGCACCTGCGCCTGGCCAGGCCCACCCGGAGCCCTGGGTCGGTGGATACGCCCTCATCGCGTGGCGGGAAAAGCATGCGGCATGGACACCCGTCCCAGGCCCAGTGTTGGCCTGGCCAGGATCGGTGCAAGTGCGCATGGGGAAGACCAAAGGCACGGACACCGCTGTTCTCCAACCTCTCCTGGGGTGCGTTCCGACGAAGATTTAGAGGCGCGTTCGGCCGTGGCGATGGGTGCCTACCTGGAGGCCCAAAAAGCAAAGACGATGCAAGGTAGCGATGTCGGTACTTCTTCCACCTCTAGCTCTATAGATGTACATATGAATCTATATATACATATATTTATATATGCATACATACAGACACACAGACAGACAGCTAGACAGGAAGACAGACCGACAGACAGACAGTCATGAATGCATGAATGCATACGTAGATACATGCACACATGCATACATATATGGATATATACATGCATACGTTCATACATACACACATACATGGTACATACAAACATACATCAATACATACGCTCACACATGTGCATACACACACTCATACGTGTATGCATACGCACATACATGCATACATACATACATGCATGTATACATACACACATACACACATACACACATACATACATACACACATACATGCATACGTATACCTGCATACGTGCGTACGTACATACATACACACATGCATGCACACAACCATACATGCGTACACACATACACATACATACGCACCTAGATACATGCATGCATACAGACGTCCCACCAGTCATACACAGACCCATGCACACATACATACCCCCGGCTGGCGAGAATAATCTCCTGGGGATAGTGAGTTCGGGGTCCAAGCGGGATAATCAATTCTCCCCAGAAACATCGAACCTACAATCGAACAACTGATAGCAACGACTTCTGAAAATCTTCGAAACTGTGCGTTTCGCCTGGAACATCCTCAAGACCTCGAACAAGGATCGCGCATGGCGCTATGAGCGAGGTGGAGATCAAAACTACGATAGGAACTCTACAAGGGATAAGCAGGCTTCGGCCCCCCGCCTGCTGTGGAAATCAAGCCACACTCAATCCCTTGAATAAAAAGATACACACATTTAAAGGGCGGATGCTTGATTATCTGGGGGGTGGGCAGTCTCAGTAGCAATCGTAATCGTAGCTGTCGTCGTCGTTGCTGCGCCGCGGGTGCCGCGGAAAACAACAATTGGTTACAACCTTTTGATGGGACCCCAGTCCTTCAATAAGGTCGCCGAGAAAAATAGTTACCCCTGTTGAGGGGGGGGGGGGTCCTTGGACCCTTCGCAGTTATCGGTCGTTGTACAACTCATTTGAGTGCATCTATATGAATGTAGATATATATATATATATATGTATATATATATCCACTTATATGACAACCCTTCGGGTGAGAAGGAGGTGGAGGGGGGGGAGAGGGGGGGGAACCAACATCTGACTCAATCGATCTCAGTGTCGATCTCACTCAACGGGACACCACGGAGCACCACGGGACACCGCGGTACACTTGTCGATCTCACGATCGATCTCACTCAACGAGACACCACGGGACACCACGGGCCACCACGGGACACCACGTAACACCACGGGACACCTCTCGATCTCACGATCGATCTCACTCATCGGGACACTATAGGACACCACGGGACACCACGGGACACCACATCGATCTCACTATCGATATCACTATCGATCTCAGTCAACGGGACACCACGGGTCACCATGGGACACCACGGGACACCTGTCGATCTCACTGTCGATCTCACTTTTTGGGACACCACGGGACACCACGGGACACCACCGGAACACCTCGGAGCACCACATCGATCTCAGTATCGATCTCACTATGGATCTCACTCAACGGGACACCACGGGACACTTGTCGATCTCACTATCGATCTCACGATCTATCTCACTCAACGGGACACCACCGGACACCACTGGACACCTCGGGGCACCACGTCGATCTCAATATCGATCTCTGTATCGATCTCAGTATTGATCTCACTCAACGAGACACCACAGGACACCACGGGACACCACGGGACACCGCGGGACACCGCGAGCCACCGCCGGACGAACGGACGGACGGGCGGGCTGGGGAGAATCATTTGTCTTGACTTCGCCCTAGCAGCGGCGGACACCACGGGACACCACGGGACACCGCGGGACACTGCGAGCCACCGCCAGACGGACGGACGGGCGGGCGGGGGAGAATCATTTGTTTTGATTTCGCCCTAGCAACGGCGGACACCACAGGACGCCACGGGGCATCACGGGACACCGCGGGACACCGCGAGCCACCGCCGGACGGACGGACGGGCTGGCGAGGGAGAGTCATTTGTCTTGACTTCGCCCTAGCAACGGCGGTTTCATTCCTCTCGCGCACCCACGCAGCTTCGCCTCGCCCGCACGCACGACAGGAACGAAACGAATCGATTTCCCGGTTGGGGGTCCCCGTTACACTGCGATCTCACCCCCCGCCTATATTTATATATATATATATACATACATGTATATATGTATATATATATATATACCTATACAACCACCCTTCGGGTGATAAGGAGGTGAGGGGGGGAGGGACCAACGTCGCACTCGATCGATCTCACTCTCGATATCACGATCGATCTCACTATCGATCTCACATTCGGTCTCACTATCGATCTCACTATCGATCTCTCATTCGGTCTCACTTTCGATTACACTATCGATATCACAATCGATCTCGCATTCGGTCTCACTATCGATCTCACTATCGATCTCACAATCGATCTCACATTCGGTCTCACTATCGATCTCATTATCGATATCACAATCGATCTCACAATCAATCTCACATTCGGTCTCACTATCGATCTCACTATCGATCTCCCATTCGGTCTCACTATCGATTCCACTATCGATATCACAATCGATCTCACATTCGGTCTCACTATCGATCTCACTATCGATCTCACAATCGATCTCAAAATCGGTCTCACCATCGATCCCACTATCGATATCACAATCGATCTCACAATCCATCTCACATTCGGTCTCACGATCGATCGCACTATCCATCTCACAATCAATCTCACAATCAATCTCACATCTGGTTTCACTATTGATTTCACTATCGATATCACAATCGATATCACAATCGATCCCACATTCGGTCTCACCATCGATATCACAATCGATACCACTATCGATCTCATTCGATCGATCTCAAAATCGATCGGACTACCGATCTCACTATCGATCTCACTATCGATCTCAGATTCAGTCTCGCTATCGATCTCATTATCGATGTCGCAATCGATCTCACAATCAATCTCACATTCGGTCTCACTATCGATTTCACTATCGATCTCACAATCGATCTCACAATCGATCTCACATTCGGTCTCACATTCGGTCTCACTACCGATCACAATCGATCTCACAATCGACGTCATCATCATCATCAACATCAACATCATCAACATCATCATCATCATCATCATCATCATCGCCATCATCAACATCATCATCATCATCATCATTACCATCATCATCATCACCATTATCATCATCATAATCATAATCATCATCATCATCATCATCATCATCATCATCATCATCATCAACATCATGATCGGGACACCGACAGGACACCGACGGGACACCGGCGGGACACCAGCGGGACACCGCGCGCCACCGGCCGCCCGGTGGAGAATCATTTGGTCCGGCCGCGCCTCAGCCACAGAGGACACCACCGGGACACCGGCGGGACACCGCGCGCCACCGGCCGCCCGGTGGAGAATCATTTGGTCCGGCCGCGCCTCAGCCACAGGAGACTTTCCTCTCGCCCGCCGACGCAGCTTCGCCTCGCCCGCACGCACGGCACGCACGAACACGAAACCGAAATCGATTTCCCGGTAGGGGGGCTCTCCGTTCCACTTCGATCTCACCCCCTCACCTCCGATACATATATATATATGTACATACATACATAGATATTCATGCGTATATATGTATGACGCCCTCCGAGCATGTGGCATCGGCACCGCCAGGCGCCGCGGCAGCCGAGACTTCTGCCCCGCCGCGGCCCGCGGCGGCATCAATGGACGAGCGCGTTCAACTACTCGCAAAGTAACTACTCGCACATGGCCAAATGATACCGGAGAGCTCTCAAGCTATGGTTGCACAATCTCTCCGCCTGGCTCTAGACCGTGTCTTGCGACTTCTAGATTCGAGCCTCTGCGGCTACGGTTCGCAACTCCGTCACCCAATGATGCATACAGTCGGGCTGCTGAAATAAGGAACGCTAAATAGGGAACGAAGAACCTCCGTGGCTTCAAAAAAGCCTGGGTGCAGGAGAAGGGCTAGAGGAACAACCACTGAAGGACATAAGGAACATCGAGCCCCTTCCGAATCCAAACTGTTCCTTATTTCAGCGTCTTGGCTGTACATGCATACCTGGGGGGATCCACGATACATCTCACCGAAGCAAACATATGTTTTCTTTTCGGAGGTCTGCAAGTAGGCAATATGCGAGTAGCGGAGCGCGCCTGGTGAACCGAGCCCAGGCGAGGCCGCCGACAGCTCCGGCGAGAGCGCGCGGGCCGCCACACACAGCGCGCTGACCGCGGATAGGGCGAGGATCAGCGGCCTAGCCAGCTGCCCGCCGAAGCCTGGTCGACGAGCATCGTTCAACCGATTCCAACTGGCGTGGCCTCGGCCCCCCTGGCCGATTTGCCCGCCCTGGTCCAGGGTCTGAGCCCCCACCCACACCTCATGATGCCGTCGGGCCCCCCCCCTCCGGCGTGATGCCCAGCCCCGCTGTGGGTGTGATGTGGTGCTGTGGATGTGGCGTGTGTAGCGTGGCACTGTGGCGCTCCTGGAGAGCTCCCGAGGTCGTGCTCGTCGCCGCCACCGCCGTCGTCGTCGGAAGGAAGGATCCAGAGGTCGGCGGCGCCGCCACCACAGCCGCCGCCGCCGTCGTCGTCATCGTCGTCGTCGTCGCCGCCGTCGCCGTCCTCGTCGTCGCCGTCGTCGTCGTCGCCGTCGTCGTCGTCGTCGCCGCCGTCTTCGTCGTCGCCGTCGCCGTCGCCGTCGCGGTTATCGTCGCCGTCGGCGTCGTCGTCGTGGTCGTCGCCGTCGTCGCCGCCGCCGTCGTCGTCGTCGTCGCCGTCGTCGTCGTCGTCGTCGCCGTCGTCGTCGTCGACGTCGTCGTCCTCGTCGTCGTCGACGTCACCCCCCCAACCCATCAGGGGAGGGGGGGGGACCGATGGAGACCCATCCCATTGGGGGGGGGGGCCGTGGGCCCTGAGCCTGGGAACATACACGCCTGTTGCTCTGGGCTTCGCAGGGCCGATCCCCACCCTGGGAGCTCGGAGGGTGGGCTGGCGGGGCTGAGCTGCCGTGGCCTGGTGGGCTGGTGGGGCTAGGGGGACGGGCTGGCGGGGCTGGCGGGGCGTGGGCTAGGTCAGACGATGCTTCGTCGCGGCGCTGCTAACCGAGGACGAGGGAGAACAAAAACAAAATGTCGGCGGCGCGCCCCGGGGGGGAAGTGAGAAGGGGCGGGCCTCCTCAGAGGGCTCGGGAGTCCCTGGTCCTCTGCGAAGCCGTCGGAGCCTCCCCCGAAGACACGCACTCTCCTCGGAAGGCGGGAGTGCTTCTGAGAAGGCCCGCCGCCCCCTGAGAAGACCTTCTCCGTCTGCCTTCCCCACTGGGCGCGCCACCGAAGCTGGTTTTTGGGTCATAACTCGGATCTCCGGCGGCCGTTCCGGACGATCCAGGCACCCCCGGAACGCTCTCGGCGAGGCGCAGCTGCTGGCAAGCATCCCGAGACTGAGAAACCACCGTGAACCGACGAACGCGTCCGAAAACTTCGAACCTCTCACCCGAAACTGCCCCCCTTCGTCGGAGCCTGGCCGCCCGGCGGCTGCCCCTCCGCCGGCCCGTCCGCTCGTCGCCGCAGGCTGTGCTGGGGCCGTGCCGTCTGCAGCCTCAGCGGCACTCCTGCCAGAGCGGCCTGGCATGCGCGGCGCCGGCGCGCTCTCTCATGGATTGATGGTGCTCTTTCGGGGGGGCGCAAGACTCGGGTTCGGGGGACTCGGATTGACCTGAAGTTGAGCAGGGACCGACCCTCCCGGCATTCCCATAGGCCTACCACGAATGTTTTTGGAACCAGAGGATGCTCTAAGAACCACAAGCAACGCTCTTCTACCATGAAGCCCATGAAGGTCATTTCATGCAAGCCACAGAAGGTTCTTAGAAAATACTTCGGTGGGCCTATCGGCTAGCCAGGACGCTTCGCCACTGGTCGACAACGGGACCATCACGAAAATGACGAGACCCAATCTGAAATGTGACGCGAGCTCCCACTGCAAACCTTTCACGAAAACTGGGCCGTCAACATCCTACGGAAACTGTGCCGTCAACGAAGGCGTCGGCAAACCCGAGTTCCGGCGCACTCGGGCCTCACGCTAGCCCCGATCTTGCACTCGCGCATCGGCATAGACCGTGCCCTGGCATTTGCCAGCTCGAACTCAACGGCAGCGAAGAGGGCCAAGAGTGCAGGCTCCCTCCACGGGGCTGCAGTCGGCGGGGGTCCGAGGTCGCACCGCGCCGCCGCTGCAGCATTGAGGCATCGGCGGCACTGTGCGAGCCAGAGCCGGTGTGCTTTGCAGCGACGTCACCTGCCTTCGCTCTTCGCGCCCATGGGCGGCGCGGTTATCTCCTGGCGCTCGGAGCTGGAGCACGCTCCGGCCTGAGTGACTCCGAACAGCACGGTGCGCGATCACCTTCTATCTGTGGCAAATCATGGAAGCCTCTCATGCCGTCTTGCTGGCCCTGGCGAACCGATGCTTATCGACGCGGAATCGGCACTCTATCATCGACTGCCAGACACTAGCGCAGGCCAGCACACACTAAACATGGAATTGCGAGGACATGCAGGGCTCCAATGAATTGCTACCGAGTCTTCGCGCCCACGAGGGTGACCTAGCCTCCGGCCCTGCATCGTCAAAGCGTTGGCGATGCGGAACCCTCCTGGCCCTGTCCCCGTTCGTGGGGACCCTCGGGAGCAAAGGCGGCAGGGTTCAGTGCCCCGGCCGCCGGTGCCCCGCGCCAGGGCCAAGCAGCAGAAGGAGGAAGAGTCTGGGTATGCTCACCGCTGGCCCGACGCTGAATCTCGACTACGGCAGGCTCGTGCGGCGATGGCGTCGGCGTTGGTCTCTGGCATCCTATGGATTGTTCAATCTTGAACGATCACGGCTCCCCGATCGCACGATTCGTTCGACATCGGCTGGTTCTGAGCCGCTGGCGGCGTTCAAACTTGAACGCCAGAGCTGGCGTCGTTGCCGCCCGCAAGAGTGACCCCAGGCAAGAGTGACCTTAGGTGCGCGGCTTTGGGGGCCCGCGGGGAAGCCAAATCCGAGCGTGCAAGCATGGGCCCGCACCAAAGGTCACTCCGCTACGTGCAGCCGGTGGATAGCAACAGCTGTCGCCGTTCGGCGGTCTGCGGGAGGCGCGGGAAGATGTCGGTCAATGCGGGGTATGTTGATCCCGATCCCCGCCTTTGTGGAGTTCTGGCTGGACCAAGCAAATGTCTTGCCAACCTCGTGGATACACGCTGGGGGGCGTCCATCCTCGATAGGGGTGCGTCCGCAGAATTAGCTCCCTGGGGGTGCAATCTTGAGTTCCCCAGATTTCTTATCCGCCAAGCTTTCGGGGGCAGGGACCTCGGGGATTGGGGGCTAGAAATCGCCTGCGATGCTTCTTTCCCCTTGATCTGCTTGCTGTGCCGCTTGTCGTAGCCTCTGTAGTGCCTGGCAGATTTGTGCGACTGCGCTGTGGCAGCAACAGCTGGAACACCTGGAACTCCAATCATGGAGCCGGAGCCCTGGCTTCGACCACAACAGAAGGGAACACCCTGCGGACTTGCCAGACGAAGCCACAACCAAGTAAAAAACGGGGGCACATCGGACCGGGACAAATCAGGGATCACTGAGATCCGGCGGTTCTGGAGGATGTATGGGGCGCCGCGGCCGCTCCATAGCGCTCCGGAACGCTCCGAGAGCGTTCTGGGACGCTCTGGAGCAATTTATCGCTGTCCTGGCCCCGCCCAAACTTAGCATGATGACAGGGTGCGAACAAATCAGGAACGGCCTCAGTGATTTTCCAGAGCTGACGGGCACCCAAGATGTGTGTAGGGTATTGGAAAAAGGCTGCCGTGTTGGAGTGCTCGATGCCAGGTCGGGTTACTTTTATATCGAGGCTGCCCTCCTCCTCCTCCTCCTCCGAGAAAGAGAGAGAGAGAGAGAGAAGGAGAGAGAGACTCACACCATGACAACAACGGCGATTAGATTCGCCTGCCACCCGGGACCGGGAAAGGGTTTTCGAGGCGAGCGGAGCGGGAATCACAGGCGCGGGAGTTATCCAACCGCTACCTACATGCCAATCCCCCTCCTCCTGATCTGCCTTCTGTTTCTGCTGCCTGCTCACCCCGACTGCGCAACCCAAGTCTAGACGCGTCTACAAGAGTGATGCGCCGAGCAAGTGAGCGCCGACTGTGGGTATGCTTACACATCTGTATGTGTATATATATATATATATACATATCTATATATATATATATAGGCATCTAACTGGTGAGGACCTGTGGATGAGGTCCACGGTGCTTAGCGGGTCGGTGGCGCGCTGAGTTATGGCGCTCACAGCTACGGCTGCGAACCCCGTGCAGTCTTAGATCGGCTCACTCTCCAAGGGAGTCCCCCAAATGTTGCATAGAAGTGCCCGAGGTGTCCGACTCTTGCGGAGCTGCGTCCTCGTCGAATGCCAACATGCTGCAGTGAGCGATCGACAACCACAGTAAAATCGATGAGTTTGGGTTCTTGAGGCCCTCTTAGGATTCCTCCTGGGGCTCTTTGGGGGCATCTTGGGCCCTCTGGGGCCGTCTTGAAAGCATCTTGGGCCATCTTGAAACCCTCATGGGCAGACTTTGAGCCATCTTGACCCGTATTGGGGGCCTCTGGGGGGCTGATTGGGCCGTCATGGGGGCCTCTTGGGCCCCTCTTGTGACTCGTTTTGGCGCGTCTTGGGCCGCCTCAGCGCGATCCTGAAGGCCTCGGGGGCCGTCTTGGGGATCCTGACGGTAGAGAGCGCGAGAACGTCAACATCACTGGACAACCTATAGGGCATCTGTGAGTTCTGCCTCTTGGCGCCTCCGAGGGTGCCCCCTTGGAGCCGTCCCGGGGCGTCTTTGGGGCCCCGGGGGCCGCCTGGGCAGCGTCCTGGGCCGCATGAGGGCCGTCTGAGGTACTCTCAGGACCTCCGTGGGTCGCATGTGGGCTCTGCCGGCGTGTTCTGGAGCCGTTCGGGGGCTCTCCGGGGGCCCTCCAGTCCCGCTGCGGGGCTCCTATAGAAGGCTCAGGGAGCCGTGGGCCCATGCCACGCGGCAGCGCATCGGTCGGATTTGATCTGTGTATACACACATAAGGGGAGAGGGATTAATAGCAATAGCCACAAGCATATATACATACATGCGCATGTAAATGTATATATATATATATATACATATACATATATAGATACACAGGTTTGTAATTGTTTATGAATATATATATATATATATATATATATATATATATATATATATGAAATGTACACCAGAGAGTGTGCCGCTAGGCAGAGACATGCGAATTGGCCACTCCCATCGCCGACCATGAATGAGGGTTCGCGGCGATACCAGCGAATCAGGGGAGACAGGACGAGCCAGGAGTGCTTGCGAAGAAAGAGGGGTATGGAATAGCTAGGTTAGGAGACACGCGGGCGGTACAAAACGGGGATACAAGCAGACGAGGATGATGGGAGCGAGGAGGAATTCGTAGGTAGAAACGGAGGAGAGGACGAGAAGCGAAGAAGAGGTGGCACGATAAAGAGGAAGAGTTGGGACGTTTAAGTGAGAGGGTCTCCACGTTCTCGAACGTCTTGCGCAACTTCTCCTGCAAACTCTGAAACCTCAGTGGCCGTATCAAGCTCTGGGCTTGGCATGCCTTCCTGCCATGCTTCCTGGCGGTGCCCGTTCCCACACTTTCCCTCTCCTCATTCGACTGCTACTACTCTCCTCCTCCTCCTCCTCCTCCTCCTCCTCCTCCTCCTCCTCCTCCTCATGTCACACTCCTGCCCTTCCACTTCATCGTCGAGGGGGCAGGAAGAGAGGAGTGCATACGGTCGGCAACTGTTGCTCAGCGTGTCTCGGCGGCGGCCCCGACGACACGCTATGCCTGGCGAGCGGATCGCGTGTTGCTTCGATCAACAGGGAAGAAAGCTCAAACATGCCGAGGATGTTGACGTCATGGGACCGGAACGTAGATATATACTGTGTCGCGTCGAAGCTCGGTGGGCCCGAACAGTCGGTGCGACACTCTAGGGCAGAGTTCCCGACAATATTCCTCCTCCTCCTCCTTCTCCATTTCTCCCACTCCCCCTTCAGTTTCATCCTCGAGGGAGGCTAGGGAGGAGAGGAACAGACGAATGTACCCTGACGCCCGACGTCACGATTTTTGTTCATGATGCTGACCCCCAGAGGACTCGACCCATTCCCCGGAACTGGCTTCTCATCCCGAGTCGTTTTTTGACAGTCTCGAGGGCCGGTGAGGGCTCCCAGGGGCCGAAAATAGAGAAAAACCTCCCATCGCGTTCCCTCCATGACTCGATTTTGTCATAACTCCAGGCGTTTTTGTATCTTGTTTTTCCCCATATCCTAAGATGGGGTTCTTGTTATTACTTGGACGCCTCCTACTCCTCCTCCTTCTTCCTCCTCTTTTCTCCTCCCCTCCTGTCGGACATACTCAGACTTGCTCATACACAGACTTACTCATACGCAGACTTACTCATACTCAGACCTACTCATACTCAGACTTACTCACACTCAGACATACTCAGATACAGACTTACTCATACACAGACTTACTCATACACAGTATTAGTCATACCCAGACGTACACATACACAGACTTACTCATACACAGACTTACTCATACTCAGCACCCCTAAGGGGAGCCGCCAGGGGTGGTTGCACGGGCTCGTTCGCGGCCATTTTGTGGGGATGTCTCAGGCGGTTTGCCTGTTTCTGTGCCCAACATCCTTCGCTTTCGGAGCAGATTTGGAGGATGTCTCGAGCGAGGCGCTCATTTCAGCACCCCTAAGGGGAGCCGCCAGGGGTGGTTGCACGGGCTCGTTCGCGGCCATTTTGTGGGGATGTCTCAGGCGGTTTGCCTGTTTCTGTGCCCAACATCATTCGCTTTCGGAGCAGATTTCGAGGATGTCTCGAGCGAGGCGCTCATTTCAGCACCCCTAAGGGGAGCCACCAGGGGTGGTTGCACGGGCTCGTTCGCGGCCATTTTGCTGGGATGTCTCAGGCAGTTTGCCTGTTTCTGTGCCCAACATCCTTCGCTTTCGGAGCAGATTTGGAGGATGTCTCGAGCGAGGCGCTCATTTCAGCACCCCTAAGGGGAGCCGCCAGGGGTGGTTGCACGGGCTCGTTC